AATTCATAAAAAGCTGCCAACACTGAGCGCACTTTTACAAATATCACGAAAGCAAATAAACAACGCAGGGAATACGCTATCTGACAACATTAATTGCACAAATTACGTCGTAAACTCACTTCGAAGTGAGTTGAACTAAAACGCTTGGAAGACTGACAGCTTGACAAAAGTATTCAGGACGAACTGTTCTTGAAGAATATTTTTCCAAATGTAATGCGACTAAGCTACTAAGCAAACGGTACGTAAACGTATAACGTCTCGATATAATCAATCAATATTTTCGTCACGTAGATTTTAATTTAATTCATTCCGAAGCACAGAGCCGTATTTAAATTAGTTCACCAAATTTATATCAATGTATTTCTTCTGGGTTTTCTTTGTTTATTTTTATATAAATACAAGTCTGAATTCGTTAACATGCGGAAGCGCATGATATGACAACCAAGGTGCATTTCAATCGCACATTTTTTTAGTCACATTGACCCCGTTTGTGTTATTTGATTTTTTCTGCAACTGACATAAAATCAATTCCCGAATCGAATTGAATATTACAAAAATAATTAGATATGGGTGCGGCCAGCGTTGATGCCGGCGCGCTGCTTATTTACAAATGCATTCGTTCAATCCGCCCGCATCCCGGGGTTGGCGTAGTTCGATGATAAAAGACGCTCGGGCGTGAAAATATAAATGTCACGCGGCGACCTTTTCAACGCTGTCGTCAGCCGATCTAATGCGGAATTCGTAAAGTTCAACACCAACACGTCGCACTATCAGTAAAGTGGGCCGCCACTTCAACCACCGCGCACAATTCGTTTCCTTATCACGCGCTCGCCACCACTTAAAACAGCACTCATATTCCAACCACAAGCGCAATCAGCTGATCGACACACTTCCACGCTTGTAAATCGATGCGTAAAGCGACCCGATGTTTTAGTTGCGATTATTGTCATCAGTCGGCTTCGGCGGCTAATTGTTAGTGTCATTATTGGAGGGCGCGCGAGATGACACGAGCACAATGCGAGAACGAGAGAATGGTGAGCGTCACAACCGCGAAATCGTTGTGCACGTCCTTCGCAATATCCTGATTCATGCCGGGCAGAGGAGGTGTGTGTGTGGGTTTGCGATCGGGGGTAGCACGCGCATGCGTAGAGGATACAGACGGGTCCAATGAGGAAATCTACTGGATCATTTTACGCGACACTGCTATTTAGGTATATTTAGCGTGCAGGCAGCGATTTCACAATGTTTTTGCAAAACAGACATTTCCCAATAGATTGCTGTTCGATTTAATTGGATGCTTTCATGAATCATTTCAAGCATGTGGTGTGATTCACAACGTCTAGTCCAGTCTAGACTCTTTGCTGATGACGCAGATTGAACGCGATAAAAAGGGTGCAAATGAGTGGAAGTTTTATATTCTCTTATGATTTAATCGATTTCCAGCGCACACTTCAAATAATACTTGATTATTTACGGAGAATTTTTAATTAAAACACAATCAAATTTTTTTCACCAACAGCTTATTTCTAACTTTATAAAATATTCAAAACTTCATTATAAGCAAATTGTCTACTATTAAACAATATCTATTTGTTGTGACAAAGCGCCTGTCATTTAAATTTGAATCGCACCACATCACATGATTTATTACCTTACTTTTAACGCTGTAAAGCATAAAATGAATGAAAACTCAACTCACCGATTCGAAAGCGCATTGTTAACGAGCCGCTGCCGGCGGCGGATCAATTGCAGAAGATTATTGACCACGAGGCGACGCTGAAGGTGGTGGTTGGGCGATGCGGAGGCCACTGACGACCCCGACGATTCGTTATTGTCTTCGCTTGATGAAGTCGGCACGTCACTGTCGTCACTGTAAGCAACAACACACACAAATGCACTTTAATGCACGCATGTCAAGTCGAGACGACCACAAACAAATTAATTCAACGCACTTTCCATCGCGATGAATGTGATATGATATACGCCGCTTTGTTGTCAAGGAATCACTGATTATGAAAGTAGTACGTGTTGATGTATATAATGTAATTGTTATCTCCTTTCTAGTTGGTAGGTAATACTAAAATTCGTTACATTTCAAATAAACTAACAGTAGTGTTATTTACACAGATGACAAATTTAGATTTCATATGAGATAATTTCATGTTAGATAATTTCAATGACTTAAAACTTAAATGTAATAATTTTAATAAATATAATCACACTTAATTTAGCCTAGTGCTTAATTTAACATATGAAACTACGTATTACAACACGACAGCCGTGGAAACAAATGATATTCCATTTTTTGTCATAACAGAATTAAAGTGAAACCTTTTAAGTCCTTCAAGAGGGGGTGCAACCACGAAACAGGATAGGACTAGACCAAACCTGACAGGCGAATAAATATATTCGCTAGGTGTGTCCGCATGGCGCCATTCCGTGGCGATCCAGAAATGACCTAATTAATTTACGGGAGTGTGACGCTTCCTTTTGGCTTCGTAATCTTGCGGAGCGTTTTACGTTTTAGTGGCGGTCGTAAAACGCCGTCTATATGTTAGTATGTGTGTGTGTGGTGATACAGATAAATGGCGCCGCTCCTCTTTAGCGTCTGCTTTTATTACCGATTTATATATTACGTATTACGGCTCAGCACAAAGGTACAATCGATTATTTCTGCTACAGACATCGCGCAAAAATGAATTCAAAAACTTGACGGCAAAAAATGTTCCTCAATTTTATTTGATCAGTCAGATCGTCAATAGTCAATATCCTGGTTGTGATATTATCAAAATGTGCAGATGCTTATGTGGATAGAAAGATAATTCATAATAGCACCGTATTAAAATTATCAGTTTGATAAAAAAGTACACATGTTGCGTTCATGTGATGCGCAACAATGTATTTATCATGCAATATCATATAAGTATGCGAGTTTCGCGGAATTATTGGATTTATCATCGTAAAGCAATGCAAATGAATTCGTATTAATAAATTATGACTATCAATATTCTTTTGAAGAGTCAGACATGTTTGTTTTACAAGCGTCGCGGAACTTTGGCTCGTATTATCAAAAACTCATTCCGTTAAAATGAATTAATAATGTATGCAGTGTAGTAAAGTATTGTACACGAGCCACACATGATACTTCACGATAATTTGTTTCTTCGACAGGTGTTTAATTTTCCAAATAAAGACATTGTTGGCATGTGCTTATTTACAGGTTAATTTTCCACGTGTTGAGGTTAAGGGAAATAAATTTAGAGGTTATTTCATGACATTTTGGATATTTTACGCACTAATGCATAAAAGTAAAAGGAAACAAAGCCTCCATTAACGCACAATCATAGAAAAGTAACATTTCGATATATAGTTCATGATACAATAGCCATCACACAAAGGGGTTTGCATCGTCTACATTCCCAAGCACTTGATTGATCCGCCACGAGTATAAAATACAAATGTAGTAGACGCGCGCGCCGCAGGACAACATCAATTTTTCCCTTCATGCATTATTCGTAATTCGTTTTGTTGCGAACACAAATTGTACGCGAGTCGTTTACGTCGTTTGATGTCGCACATCAATTTCAGTGTCGTACGCGTACGCTGATGGGACAAATAGTATTCTGGTTGGAATTAATTGGAAACACGGTGTTGTTCATAAATATTTTCCTAATCGCCACAATCACACTCACGTACAGCTTCATTAATAATAAATGGCACTTTTACTGCTCGTGTCGGAATGAAATAGATGGACATGTCAACCGGTGCTGATAAATATAAATGATCTTCTCATTTGGTTTTGTATTATTGGTTGCCTACGCTAACCTCAATTAAGAACTGCTGCGTTTAAAAAAAAAGACGTTTTAATTAGTATGCGGTAATTAGAAAATGTGAAGAGTGTGCTTTTTATCCTTATTATGAGTCTAGTTTTGATGTGAACTGATAGTTCGTTATATTACACGCGTAGGTGCTTTATTTATGCGCTGACATTGTTGTGGGTTTTTGAGCGGGAGCCTATTCAACATCAAAAAACTAAATTTAGATTCGATTAGGGAGCGCACAGCGCGCGGCGATTTGCGCTTGTGTTGTGGGCGAATGACGTACTATGCCAGCACTCTATATAAAATCGTATATCGGCTTGGAAAATCTGATGAATTTAAATATGAACCACAGCGGTGCTATTCAGCCGGTAATTGCAGTGTTGAATTTTATTACGTTCAGCAAATAGGTTATACTACGGCAAACAAACGGTAAAAAAGCACTAACAACGCAAAAATGTTAATAACTGAAGTTAAATTTGAAAAATTTTGTAATGTTTTTTTAAGGCTTGTGCGTTAAAAAGTACTGCGTCTGGTGCTGTGCTTGGTGTTGTGCTCGTCTATAAATACTCCTTTTAAACATCTCTTACCTCAACTGCAAAAAAGCAAAATAGAGCACTGTTTAAATAGTCAATTATCCTGGCCGCGTGTGTTGTTTACGCGCGTGTTTAGCGACCGCATTCAAATGAACTCGTACAGAATAACGTGGTATTCGTGTCGCATTATTTCTTTTCGAAAATTGTATAAACGTAGAAAAATGATTGATATTTGTTCGCACCTTTCGCATGACGCGCCGTTGGCGTTGGCGGCGACGACGTCTGCGTTGGTGTCGACGCCTCGGTATCGAATCGCCGTCTGCCCGCGCTCACTAAACGCGGCGCCGCCAAACCTGTTTCTAGTCATGCCTGCGTCGTCGGCGGCATCGGCGTCGCTTGTCGCTGCGGTGGTGGTGGTTGTAGCGCACGCGTCTCCCTCGCGGTGCTCTGCAACAGGCGAACAGGTGGCGTTACGTTTGCCCCACGTGTCGGTGAATGCATCGCACCCACCCTCATTCTCATACTTTGCAAGTCGGTTGAATTTGGGGCATTGCGAATTTTCATCAAACGGGTCGAACGGGACGAAATGAAGAATGCATAGACGAATACCAAATTGTGTAAAATGTATAATTTATGACATTGTGCACGTCAATACTGACACGATGCAACTGACTGATTTCATGTCACGGGATGTACGAGTACATTACCATTACGACGTAATTGTGAAGTGAAAACGACATTACCAGATTGTATACAAGTACCAATTACTTATTTACACATCAGGTATGATTCACCGCATGAATTATAAAGCACTAAACACGGCATTACAAAATAAACACGTTTACACATTCACACACGGTATGAAAGGTTTTATTTATTGTCACAATTGTATATTTGGTATTTGGTCCTAGGTTATTGTTGGTTTAAAAATCTTTCTCCCAGCCAGAGGTCTCATCAGCAGGTATGTTATTATCTTTGCTAAACGTGTCAAAATTAGTAAAATCCGAAGGTCCTCTTATTGATTGTACAATCGGAGCTTGTAAATTACCACTAATAAGACCATCCCAATCAAATCCTTGAAACCATCTATAATTTAAACCTGTTAATTTCGTAATTCACATAATAATTGCATGAATAACGCACTTATGTTTTTTAATATCTTGAATACCACCTCGTTGATATCCGAGTCTTTCAGACGGTAGATCTCTACACAATTTCTTGATCAAACTCTGCGCTGTCCTGCTTATATTGTGTTTCGCAAAGTCAATCATATCTATACCTTTCAATATGAGATTGTATGTACGCATCGGGTCATTTGCAGCAAATGGCGGACTAAAATATAATATAATATATATTTATTCTAATTTGGTTTAAAACATTTTCCAATACTCACTTTCCAGTGAGTAATTCATGCATCAATATACCCAATGCCCAGTAATCAACAGCACGATCATGTCCTTTATTGAGAATAGTCTCGGGCCGAAACATACTCTGGTGTACCACAAAACGTCCATGTTTTACTACTGTATCCTAAGCGTTTTGAAAAACCAAAATCGACTAATTTAACATAACCTTTACCGTCCAGCAGTAAATTCTCTGGTTTTAGGTCTCTATAGATTATACCTCTCGCATGTAGGTAATCAAATGCTTCCACAACACAAGCAGTAATAAACCGGGTGGTGTATTCATCAAAACAACTCCGATCTCTTAGAATCGTCCATACCTCACCACCAAGACACGCTTCCAGTAGCATGTAAACATATTTCGCATCTTTAAACGTTTTATACATTCTGCAGATGAATTTACTACGACATCCCATCATGACACTCTTTTCACTGAAGATATGTTCCTGTTGGTGTGTGTCTACGATATGCTGCTTCTTAAGACACTTGAGAGCGAATGTTAGGGATTGGTCCCTGAGTACTGCACGAGTTCCACACGTCCGAAACCACCTATACCCAAAGTAGCAACCACATCTAAATCGTCCAATTGAATATAATCATATTCAGCTAGTTCCTGCATATTGGAACTGCTAATTGGACGCGCTAGTTTACGATGTGTGTCACCGTAATCTTTTTCTTTGATTTCGCTTAGGTCCCCGATGAGTTGAATGAAAGAATCGCGGTCTAGGGTTAAACATTCTACACCTGGATGAAGAGCTATCACGGAAGCAGTGCGGTAGTCTTCTTTCAACAAAGCTTGCTCTCCGAAATAATCACCACGTTGTAAGGTACGTATTTGTTCATCTTCTAAAGTGCCTGGTTTACGTTGAGTGATTTTTACCCGGCCGCTGCTCATAATGAAGAATGTGTCACCAGTTGCACCTTGACGAATTATATATGCACCACTTGGATAAAACTCCTAATAATTTAATAATAACATAAAATATCTCATAAAATTTTTGTTTAAACCAAGAACTTACAACTTCAAGCACATCAGCAATTTTGCTAAAACATCATTGTTTAGATTTTGCAGTAGAGGAACCGATCGCAAAAAGTTGATGTTATCTTCTAATCTCTGCAATCCTGTTCGTACCATGATTTGTTGGAAGACTTTACGGTCAAGTACCCAAACATTCGAATCACTTACAACTAAAATTTAATTACTTTATATTATACCCATGTAAATATGATAAATAAAAGAGTTTAACCTCTAATAGAGGCTGTTCTTGTGCAGTTGTAGAGTATGGCAAGTTCCCCGAATGCTTTCCCGGTACCCATGCGCCCCAAGACGTTACCATCTTTGATGACCTCATATTCACCCTCTGCGGAGACAAACAGATGTGCGCCATTATCTCCTTCGCGGATAACATACGTTCCTTTCTGGTACCCGCGCGGGTACATGGAGTCGACGATTTCGCGAATTTGGCACGAGTCTAAATTTTTGAGGAAGTCATTGTCTAGGATGGCGTCCTTAATAAGCTGCTTCGATCTGTACCACAATGAATTACTGGATGTGAAGTGATTTGTAAACGCCGTCGGCGGCTGGAAATATCTACCTGAAATCTTTTTCAAATTTTGGTATGGTAATATCGCCGGGAGCTCCTGATGACTCGCTGGACTCGGCGGATACACCTTGTTTCTTCGCTGAAGATGTTCCATGAGGTGATAACGACGAAGAGACTTGATGGAGAGTCGAAAGTATATCGGCTTCTTTATTGAGCTTTGATGTCGTTTGCTGTAGAACGCTCTATTCGAAATAAAAGAGATTGTAAATCAAAATAATGATTTGGTAATTATTTGATAATAAAAGCAAAGAAATTATTCGCGGAGCGTATCATTGAACCATACGTATGTAAATACATTATCAACGAAACGCTTTCGATTATAGCAAGAAAGAGGTGAGGGAAAATTAGGCCGGAACGACCAACACGCCATCCCGCTATTATAATACGAATAAATAAGTAGGACGCAGGACGATTACGTCGCCGGCGTACAACATATTCACCATTAAATCGGCGCGGTTTGCGTGATTTTCGCCTAGATTCTTTTTATTTTATACCCATTCTTTCGCAGTTTACGGTTGATTCGGTCAAAATGTATTCAAGCCTTGACCTTGATCCATTTGCGTGTATGGGTCATTATTGTTCGGCAACACAACATACACCCACACACTTCGAGTATTAATTTGCAAGCAATGAAGCAAGTAAATAGAGTTTTGATTCTCAAGGGGGCGATATAAGAGATCGAAATTGTATGCTCCAATGTTAACATGATGACACCTTGCGGCGGAAACGTCCTTATCAGGACAACGACAATGCGTGTTCAGGACGTGCACACGACAAAAGTAGCTCTTGAGCGCTTCAGATCATCAAAACCAAACAATAGGTGTTACGCATACAAAGCGTCCCTCTAAGTTTATTGTTTTCTACGCAATTTAGTTCTAAGATGTCGATAATAGTAAATAAATATGTGTACCTTTAACTTGTGAACTTCTCGTTGATATTTCAAAACCGCAGAGTCTTTAATCTGTAATTCTTTGCGTGTTGTTTGCAACTCGGAATTGAGGGTGCCATTTTTGATTTCTAAATCTCTCAAATCTTTCTCTAACTTTGGCACAATGTTTTTCAAATACTCATAATCTGATGGTATGGTTTGTGTGAGTTGGTCCTTTGCTGGTGTATCAGGAACGACGCGTTTGTGTGCAGCGTCTAAAGACACCTTCCGGTGTAAGGTGACGCCGTTACCCATTGGTCCCAAAATACCAAAATCTTGCAAAAACTTCCTGGCGATGTCTTCCGATGATTCCGATTGTGTCTGCGATCGTTTGTACTTTGGCCGTATCAATGGCAAGAGCAATTGACTGGGGGTAACCTCCTCGGCGGGTTCCACAAGACTCACTTCCGGATTGGAGAGGCGCTTCTCATGCGAACGATAGCGACTGTAGTTAACTGACGGACTGGAGGATCTCTTCTTGTCGTCGGCATGGTTTCTTTGGAAGCGCGAGCAGCCGCAATTCGCGAACAGACTGCCGCACGTGTGGGTGGTTTTAAATCGTCTTGCCGCCACAGGTGTAACGGCGCCCTCGTTGCCAGTGGATGAGGTGCGCGCCGCGACGCGCAATGGTGGGGTTGGCGCCGCGACTTCGGCGCGGCAGCCCCCCGTCTCCATTGCTACCGCGACGAATACGCACAACTGCCGGGCCAAGAAAAACAACTCACAAGTCAAAATAGCCACAACAATCAACAAAAGGAAACATTTTTTGTAAAAAAAAAAGAAAATATATTCATGGTCGTCATGCGCAAACTCAAAAGATATTCATAATTTAAAACACCTTTTGTATACACACAACTTTTCAAAACAATATTTTTTGTTTACAATTTTTATAATTGTTTTATACAGAGAATTTACTCTCAACTATCATATTATTTTCCGTATTAAATAAATGTTTGCTTCAACGGTTAAAATAATCCAACTAAAGCAGACTTTTATGAGCAGTAACACAAAAAATATTGTAAAGAATATATTTTTATATTTGACCCACCTGAACTTGTAGGTGATCTGTTATGCGCCACAAAAGAATAAGAATAACTCGCACAATGTCCGAATTCACTCTACAATAACAATAAAAAAAGCAGCGGCGATAGCGACCAGAGTATTTACCGGTGTTTACTTCGACGCGTACATTTTGTACCAGCCGGCGGCGATGTTGTCGCACAATATTTCGTAAAATTATCACTTTTATTGTTAGATCACGAAATCGTCCGTGACCACCGCGACGGCGCTGTTTGTCGCTGCTCCTGGTTGTGCTAATCCTGCACGATTATTGCCGGCCTTGTTTTCTACTTGTGTTCTCCGCTGTAATCTTATCATTACCTAAATAAAGCCGAAATCGTTTATTAAATTGTTAGCATACGTTTCACCGCATACACCGTTGCCGACGATGCGCATACAATGTACTTCATAATTGATTCATTTGCATGCTCATTACCTGCGCACAGCGTAAACATGTTTAAATACTATTGTTTTTGTTATCGGTAAGACCCTGTGTGGAAAATATGTTCCGAAGTGAACAAATGCGTACATTTCGCGCATAAATTTTACCTGTCGCGGTAATTATACATAAATATATTGAATGTAGTGACTTGTTAGAGGACAAATGTTTTAAATTGTTTGTTTGCCACACGGTTTGCACGACGTTGAGTAATTCAGTGGAATATTTCAACACGTTTGAAAGTTGTACCTAGTTAAGATAAAATAGTGTGTGGTAGTAGTAGGACTCTTTAGTTTACTAGTACACACTAGATGGAAGCACAAATACGCGTCTGGTAGAAAATCAAGGATATTTCAGGATTTTATAGATTTGTACAAACCTGGGAACGTGGAAACTGTTGAAGTAAAACAGATCAAAGTCATGGCCAAGACATTAACACCTCATTACGTTTGAAACACTTGTAGAATATTATATATAATTAAATGCTTTACAATAAATTAATGTAGTTTAATATGTAGCGATGTTGGCTTTGCTGATTTAGTCTTTTTTGTAGTATGTTCCTCTGTGGCTACAGGCTCTGACGCTGACGCTGGTGCATTTGTAGTTTTAGGAAAACTAATTCCTTTCTTACCATTGTTTTTCTTTGTGTTTAATTCACTCAAGTGTTGTTTACGCAATTTGTCGATATTATCACGTCGGAAAACATCACTGATTAACTTTGCGGTGGTTCCTAAGCTTTCACAATCTCTTGAATGACTTACAATCAACCAATTACCTTGCAAAAGCTCCCTTTTTCGACAAACTCGGCACTCACCTAAAATTTTAGCGTGAGATAAACCCCAGAGGCGAAAATTTAACTCACCCATGAAAGTAGCTAGTATTTGATCGCGATTATTCCATCCGTTGATGATAATATACTGAGAATTATTCGCGTATGGATATGTAAGCGTAGTGTTCCAATCTTTAAAGCTCATAAAACCATTATGCACGTGGTCGTGGGACCGCTTGCGTTCTAATGGCATTTCCTGGCGTTCCTGTCCACTCATACCAACCATTTTATTAAGTGTAAATAACCCTCCTGCAGATTCAGATAACCATTGGCCCTCGATGTTACAATCCGCTATAAAAATTATAATTTTATTAAAATCTGATTAATTTTCATTGATTTTGTATTAATACATGAATTCGTTGATCCCGATTTGGCACCAGTTTTTAATGCGGAAACCTCTTTTAAAACATGATCTAGTAAAACAGCAGGATTGGAATCAGCTTGATGTAGATCTTTACTGACGTCTCTCTGTTTGAGTAAAGATTGAATCATATTCAGCTTCTCCAACATTAGTTTTTCACGTTTGTATCTATCAAAATCCGAGATGTCGAAGGTGGAGGCGGTGGCTTCAGCTGGAGCCGTTCGCTTCTGCCGCAAGTGCCCGGGATGTCTGCGTCCATAGGAAATACTGTTTATTTTTAGATTTTTTCTTGGAGCGTACCAGCGCATCGGGACATCCTCTTCCGTAAAGCCGGAGGCAATTAAGATCAATAACGGTATAAAAAATATAGAATAAAATGAAAGTCAAGGTGTTTTTTCATCGAAATACCGTTTCATTGAACATCAATGATTGACACATGATATCACGTATCACAACTGTCAGCTTGTGTCAAAACTTGTCTTGTTGTGTTGTCATGGTTGTTTGAATGGTGCTCCTTGAATGATATTTTGCTTGGACCATTCATGAAAGTCGTATTTACTAGAAGTAATTTGTGTTTGCGAAAACTAAACGATGATGCTTTATTGCAATGCGTGAGTTTTGACTACGGCGCTAATATGACCACGACTGCCTCAATACAACACACAGCAACATACGCTTGTAATTATAGATAGAAGTTTAGTCGGCGGCCAGAACTCGACGGCAACGACGGTGCTTGCACAGAGTCTCAAGCGAAAAACATCTCGGTTTCTTATATTAAATTTAGTAAACCCGCCTTGGCTCAATCGGTTGCACCGAATTCGAAACTACAAAAGCTTACGTTGTGCGTGTAAAAAAGTTGTTTTAAAAATATCAAGGTTCGTAAGTGTAACTGAAAGCTCACACTGAACGTTTTTAATTCTTCCTTTTTTTACCGTTGACGTCGAACAAATCACCAAACAAATGTGTGTGTTTTTTATTATTCGTCTATTTTTTTCTTCCAATGTACATAAATGTTTGATGCGATGCAAATCTAAATGCGATTTCCCAATGGTGCGCATCGGTGCATCGCGACTTCAAAAATATCATTATACGTTATAACACCTGGCAATAACCCAATCGAATGATATTTATTTGACCCACTCTTTATATAGATCAATTGCATTGTCTCGTCCACTCGTTCGGCTCCTGGCGAAACGAATGGCCGTCTTCGCATCCGCGTCAACAAATTACGAACGATAGGCGTCGGCGCGCACAATGTCCCGTAAAACCAGCGGCGCCAAAGCCCTCAAAGTTGCACCAACACAACATGACGAGGTAATGGAGTGTTGTGGTGTTAATATGTTGCCGTTTTCACTCAAAATATTCAATCAACACAAAGATTTAAACGATTTTTTCCGAAAAAATGTATTTGTGTACCTGCGTTCACTCGGAACACACAACACGCGCAAATATTTAGTAAATAATCGTGGTGCGTTCTCAAGGTTTCGGGAGTCGGTGCCAAATATGTATGTGAAATGTGAAATCTGGCTACGTATCTTCATCTTAGCGGATCCAATGTT